ACCAATTGCACGTAAAGCCAACTCTACTTGTCATATTCCAGTATTTGAGGATATTTTTGGCTATTTTTTTTATCTCACATGTATTATATTTTAAAATCTGCTACAGTATTTTTTTTTTTTTTTTTACAAAGTGCAGTCCAAATGAAACTGATAACTATGACAAGGTCAGCAACTTCAGGCGCCATCAATGGCCGGCCAGGCCTGAAGGACAATAAAATTATTTTAAAGATATATGGAGACAAGATCATTGACAGAGCGTCCCTAAGAAATTGATCTCGTAATATTGTCATTTTTTTTATAGAGTAAGACTGTATAATTTTTATTTACACTAGTAAGTTTAGATCATGTTACATACTTAAATTTGAAATTCAAATAATACATATATGGCATTCATCCATAATTGCTAATAAAAAAATTACTACACTATCAATATATAAAAAGTTAATCCTTATAATATATATATTATTTATTTATTTGAGTCAAATTTTATAAGTTGCCGGCATGGCATAGTGCATAAAACCTGACAAGGGACACCATTGACTGAAAAATTATGGAGAAATAAGACAAGTTACATGACAATATTTTTATGAAGTTTGAGATTTTCAATGAAGCAACTATGTTGAAATAAAATAAGAGTCTTTGAAAAAAAATGCAAATGCTATTACGTGGGTTACGGTTCAAGAGCACAGTCAATCTCTCGTCTTCCATGCAATCTCTATTCGGAAGCATATACGAATTCAGTAGTGGCTTAATGAACGCGAAGCCAAACAAGGCTTAACCGGAATAAGGGGCAAAATATACACCAAAAAGGGCAAAAAATTGAGAGAAAGAAAGAAAATCACTGTCGAGAAACCAACAAAAAGTGGTTCGAAAATTGGTTCTCAGGTTAATGCATTCTTAATACACATGTTGCAAGACTGAATTAGACAATTGCCATCTAAAGAAGTAAGAATTTACCATTTAGTGTTCATGTGTCAACTTTTGCTTCTTCTTTTTTTTTTCTCCTTTAACTAATCGCCTACAACATCTTCATAAAATCTTTATTACGCTTTCAGTTGATTGCTAGAAGAATATTTAACATTTAGGCAATTCGATAGGCTTTTTTTTTCGTTTTCTTTTTTGGTTTGATTTTCCAGATTTTTGGTAGTATTTCTCAATTAGGGAATTTTAGGAATATTGATAGTTGGGTTTTTTGGTTAAATGCTTATGGTGGGGACTTGTCGAAATTGTATTCTGTCCTTTAATTTAACTATTTTGGTGGTATAATTTTTCTCCTTATTCCATGGGGATAATTTTACGTACATTCCACCCTCTAGGTTTGTCACAAATTCACTAACCATCCTGAGGCTTGAGAAATAATACTGCTTAGTACTTGCAACAATGTGGCAAAGGAGACTGGTTTCATAACAACTTCAGTAAAGCTAACGGGCATAATTTGCAAAAAGCTCATCATGCTATGACTTTTGCTAGATATGGCATATGCTCCATTCAGTCAAGTCATGGATTTTGAAAGGGCAAGGACTTCTGATGGATGATCTTTCTTTTCCATTCGTCCTCCTATTTATGGCATACAGAAGTTTGGGTGTCTACCTAAATTGTCCTAATTAAGAAGCTCAACACATCTTTCATGACTTGCAATCTTCTGAATTTTTGGATTGTGTTCATTGATGAGAAAATTGACAAACATTTAGATTATAACCCATATTTATCTTCGTCAACGCTAATGTCATTTAGAATTGAATTTCAGTTTATGGTTTCTGTGGTCGTCAATCATAGTTCATTTGTACAATGAGTGCACTCTCACTGCAAAAAGATTATCTAATAGATGTCGATACTGCTTCGAGTTAATAACCCTTTGCCCACTGAATTTAGGGGATAGTCACACTTTACCCCTATCAATCTTAAATACATACATTTTATCCCCCATGAAGATTAGTCAAAGTTAAAAATACGAAAAAAAAAATGAGTCCAATGATATTATTGCCCATTTATTCATGAATTATCCAAAATTCAGTATTATTTCCTTTCATTGCTAAAAAATATACATCTTGTCTACCGTATCTACTATACAACAATATCAGACTGGAAAAAGACAAATAAAGTTTAAATTTAGTTTATATCAGTATTTACTTTTATATTTGCTTTGTTCAATTTATTATAATTGAAGTCAAACAAAAAAAATAAATAAGACAATGTTAAAATAAAAATAGATACCAAATTTCATTTTCGAAAAGAGGTAATAATAAACTTGTTTCTTGTTTAAAAATGTATTTTTTATTATTTTAGTTTATGTGAACTTTTAGGCTAGTACGATTGTCATTTTTTATTGATGTATTTATAGTTTACTGTTATTGCTTTTTCTTGTCAAAAAATAAAATTTGACTTAATCTCCAATTCCTTCTCCAAGTTTAAAAATGAGGCATATCAACCATTTTTAGCAAATTTGATTAAGAATTTCATATTGGGCTAATTTGATAAACAAAAAAAAATGACAACGATATTAGTCTAAAAGTTTAAATAAATTAAACTGATAAAAAAGTACTTTCAAAAAATGAGTCTGGTATTGCCTTTTTATATGAATTTTTGTAATGTATTTATTTTTAGTATTGTGTTATTTATCCATTTTGTTTGACTAAAAGTCTAATAAATTGAACAAAACATATATATATAAAGAAATATATATATATATATATATATATATAGAGGTAAACATTAATCTAGTAGGAAATTTTTGAGGATATAAACTAATATTAACTTTCATTAACTATTTTTAGTTTGATATTTTTGGTATAATTGATATGATAGAGAAGATATAAATCTTTTAGCAATGAAAGAAAATAATATTAAGTTATAAATAATTTCATAAATAAAAGGGCAATAATGTCGTTGAACTCACTTTTTTTTTTTTGTATTTATAAATTTGACTTGTCTTCATAGGAGGTAAAGTGTATATATTTAAGGTTGAGGGAGGGTAAAATTTCGCTACCCCCTAAGTTCAGGAGGACAAAGTGTCATTTGCCCTAATCCTAAACAATGCATAAAAAATAAGAAATTTTAACACTAATTAAAAATTATAATCTCATAACGAATCTCATCCATCCAATTTCAATTACAACTAATTCTCAATATTGATTATACACTAACAATCACAACTGTGATTTTGAAGTACTATGATCAAGAGTCAAGCTTCAGTAAATAATAAGATCCCAATCACACTAAGAAGAGTGTTTTTATTTCTTTGTGTTACTTTATCTTTATAAAAGAGAAATAGGGAGGAGTAACTAAGAACTAAAATGGAATTAAGAAGACAGATATATGTGAAAACATGCAGTGGAATTAAAAATGCTTGGTCTAATTATATTAGATAGGCCACAAGTAATTTCATTAAGAATCTAATGAAAAAAGACGTATTAATAATCCAACATTCATACGGTTTTCTTGCACATGCTTATTTACTTTTAAATATGATTACAGATCCTTGCATATATAAAAGTGTGATAAGGAGTCAAAATTGGGTCAAAATGGACCAATTATAGCGTAAATGTCAGCAATTTCAGTGGCATTTTTATAAGCAGATGGATAGGAAACAAAAAGGTTTGGAATTACGTTGGAGGAAAAAACAGTTAGCACATAGTGTGGAGTTACGTTGTCCTGCAATTAGTGGAAAGTCGTAACCTATGGTTTTGTCCCCGTTATAGGTTCGGCACTTGACCTAATATTACACCTAAAATACTAAAGTAATGATTATTTTTTCCTAAAGAAGTTTGTCAAAATCAAATTAGGCTAGAGAACTATACGAAATTGAAAGGGAAAGCAGGAAATGAGGTTGCAAGTGTGATCTAATTACAGCCTATATGTAGATCAAATAGGAAACAAAAATGCAGGTATGCAGGCAAGTCGTTTGATGAATTTTCTATACATTGGTGTGTCTTTGCTTGTTTTTGGAAGTTTAGGACGTGAAATCGTCAATCTAGTAATCTATAAAGGTGCATGTGACCAATACACTCATACTAAATCTAAACAACATTATATATAGCCAATAATTCGCAAATTAGTGGGATAAGCACCATGATCTAGTTAAATAAACTCACAACTAAATAGCATGAATTCAAGATTCTTAGGGTTCAATCTAGAAATGTATAAAGGTACAACTGACCAATCCACTCATAATAAACCAAAACTACATTATATACAGCCAATAATTGACAAATTAGTGGGATAAGCACCATGATCTAGTTAAATAAACTCACAACTAAATAGCATGAATTCAAGATTCTTAGGGCTCAATCTAGAAATCTATAAAGGTACATGTGACCAATCCACTCATAATAAACCAAAACTACATTATATACAGCCAATAATTCACAAATTAGTGGGATAAGCACTGTGATCTAGTTAAATAAACTCAAAACTAAATAGGATGAATTGAAGTTGTCTAATTCTTAGGGCTCAACTTTAATTGTTATAAAATTAGATCAAGGCATCATCAGCAAATGGTAGTATTCAGTTGCATGCCAAGTTTTTAATGAAGGAGTGTGAATTCGATGCTAATGTGTGATTTTACGTGATTCGGTTCGATTGTTGTATTTGTTATATTATTTAGTGTACAATAACATTATATTGTTGTAATAATCGTGAAAGTGGTTTACAAATAAATTTTTTCATATATATTCAATAAAATATTATAATGTAGTTGTATATTAGAAATTTAAATATGTAAAATAATCGGATTGAAGCGCATCAGACCCAACATCACTGGCTGATTTTTTTTTTTGTGTGATTTTTTTGGACTTTACGTACTCCATTCATTTTTACGCACGTGGGCTGTTTTTTGACAAAAAATTACTATTATTTTTTTAAAAAAAAAAAAGAAAAAAAAAGGAAAAAAAATCATTCTGCTTCCCTATAAATAGTCTTCATCAGTTCCACACTTTGCGCCACACCAGCTTCTTTCCTTCTTTGTTCTCCTTCGTTGTTTCGTTTTTCCCTGTGACAAAACAATGGCAAAGAGTTCAGCTATAGCATCCCTCCAAGTTCTCAGCGTGCTTTTACTAGCAAGCTTGGGACAGTCAAAGACAGTGTTCACAAATTTGACGGTGTACTCCCATGAACACCAAAGTGGAGACGCTCAAAGTGTTTTCCCAGTTGCAGGTCTCCCCAACACAACCTGGGGGCTTCACGACTTTGGAACTGTTTTCATCGCGGATAATACCTTGACAGAAGACATTTCAGAGAGTTCCGATCATCTTGGCTATATACAAGGCATCGCAGCAATGACATCCCGTGATAACAGCACCATACATGTTCTGTTAACTGTTCTGTTCACTAGCGGACGGTACAATGGTAGCACTCTGGAATTACAAGGACTTAACATCTATCCTTTCGACGTGAACGAAGAATATGCAATTGTTGGAGGAACTAGACAATTTAGGTATGCGACGGGGTATGTTGCCCTTAACGTGGTCAGCTCAGAAGGAGATTCTTTTACTTTTAAGCAATGTTTTCAAACCCGGACCGGACCGGCCGGTTTGACCGGTTCGACCGCAAACCGGCCATGTGTCCGGTCCGGTCCATAGCTTATGTTGACTTGGATAAAAAACCGGTCAAACTCGTAAAAAACCGTTCAAACCTTCAAAACCGGATTGGACCGTGAACCGCGGTTTTTCAATTTTTGAGTCAAAATTGACAAAATTTTCAATTTTGACCAGATCCTAATCTTCACTTCACTTCAGACTTCCTCTTCGCCGCAGTTCGCACTTCGCTTCGCGGCTTCAGTCGTCCTGGGTTCCTCTCTGGCTCTCTCTGCAATTGCCGAAAATTGCCTTGCCTGCCGTTTCTATTTCCTTCTCCAAACTCCAATTTGATCCATAGCAATCAGCAAAAAGGAAGCATCGAGGTCCGAAGCTTGCAGTTTATATTGCAGTATCAGCAATATGCAGTATCAGCAGTATGACGATGAGGAGGACTGGGTGTTGTTTGGCTGCGGCTGAGAATCCAGTCGGTGGCCTTGACGATGTCGCCGCCGGCGGCCTTTAGAGCTTTAGGCTTCAGCAGCCAGAGAGTTGGGGAACCCCATGCTCACCAGTTGCTTCATCCTTACGTGCATCTTTTCTCCCTTCCTCTGGCGCCAACTCTCATCAAGGAATTGGAATTTGGCACTTTCCGGAAAGCTGAAATATCAATAGCCGACCCCACTTTTTAACTTTCCCATCTTGCTTCATCTTACGTTGGTCACATTCAAAAAAGTTGCCCTTCTTCTTCATGTTATTACACTAGTCACCCATAGTCACCATAAGGGTTAATTCTAATTAAACCCCCCACCCCCTCAAAAAATGTTTCTTTTTCACATGAATGTCTAATTGAATCAATTCACCTCTTGTGCTATTATAAAGTTTTCAATCAGGTACAATTGGTTGGATAGCCCAATTTCAGCTTGAGTTTGGCATGTGCATTACATATATACTAATACATTTATACTGAATTACCAATTACACTTTTACTAATTATACATTTATTCTATTTAGCCCAAGTAGGCACCGACGAGGGGGGAATGTTTGGGCAACGGGATGAGGGACTCCACCCCGCCCCCCCGGTTGCCATTCCTAGTGGTGATGGAGATGGGGTTTTTTTTATTTTTTTTCTCAATACACCAAATTTTCCCTGTTGCAATTGCAGTAAATTCTAAAACAATTACAGTATTGTGGTTCAGTATTTATATCTTATTCTATGCATAGGTGTGTGTGTCTATATATATATATATTTATTTATTTATTTATTTATTGAACCCCGGTTGAACCGGTCCGACCGGTTGAACCTCGACCCTTTCACCTCACCGGTTCGATTGACGGTCCGGGTTTGAAAACATTGCTTTTAAGTCGGATCTCTACATTAGACAGGACATACAGGATGCCTACCCTGCTGGTATTGCTTTTTATTAATAACAGATATCCACAGACGCGCGCACAATCACTATCTCATATAAGTAAACTTGAACCCTTGGACCTATAGATTACGAGTTCAAGAGCTTCTCCATGTACATTAATAAGGGAAAATTGTAAGTTTGGTCCCCAATCTATAGTGTATGCACAAAATTATCCCCAATCTATTTCGAAAATCAATTTTGGTCCCCAATCTATTCAATTTTGCACTAAAGTGGACAATTGACGAAATTTTTTCAATTTCAATCAGAACTAAGTCACGTGAAATCACGTGCCGACACCTAAAACCCCTTTTTCAATTTTTTAATTTCTAAAACACGTTTTTTCTAGTGGATTGGCTTTTGGCATGGACACTCATGTCCCTTCAGTCAGATCAATCTCCTCCTCGCCAATTCTTTTCCAATCAAAACTTTAAATTAGAGATCCCAAAGCCAAACCCACCACCCGCTGTGCTAGGCCAGAACCAAGGTAAGATCTCCTTCCCATCCCAAATGGAATCAGTTTTGATGGCTGAACCTACAAGCCTTCGAATCGCTCTGGTTTGAAGCTTGTTGGATCATCCCAAACGTTTGGGTCCCTGTGAACTGCCCATGCATTAACTGGCAAAATTGTGCCTTGCGGAATATTGTATCCCTCAATTTTACAGTCATCAGACGACTCATGTGGCACAAGCATTGGTGCTGCTGGGTACAAGCGAAGTGTTTCTGAAATAATATCCTTATACTATATAAGAATGAGTTTAGGGTAAAAATGTTATTTGGATTTCAACCGTAAGGGTAGGGCTATTTTGGAAATGTAAGAGTTTGAAGTGCAATTGGAGTATTGAATACAAGTCATTATAGCTAATTTAGTTTTGTTGTACTTAGATGTCCTTTTAGACATTTAAAACTAGGGGTGACAGATATCATATTGAACATTGGGTATAACTAAATTCAGCTTGTGTTTTAGTGAAATAACATAAAAGCCCTTCTAATCATTTAATTGTATTAACATACAGGTCTCTTAATTTCCTAAAGCATTTCTCATCAGTTATCTGCAAACTTATGATATATAGATATTAAGACACAATTAATGCCAATTAGTAGAGAAGTTTGCTTTCTCAGCCGTTACTCCCATCTGTTCATATTCATTTCATTTACTTACAACTTTCTTCCACCACAATCATGTAGCCTATTAAATTTGGATATTGCTATATTAGCTACTTCTCTTCCCCATTTGCAACACCTTTCTCAATAAGTATATTTTCTTTAGCCAATCTACTTTTTGGTTGTAAGAAATCTCAATAGGTATGTTTTCTTTAACCAATCTACTTTTTAGTTGTAAGAAATCTATAATCTTGAAGGTTGTATGTGTGATAATATTTTAGTATTTTAATTCAATTGTCCATATTAGATAGGCATGATAGGGAGAAGATCACATTTGTTAATTATTATTTGTGGTTTAAAGTAAGTTTATCATTATAAATTTTCTCATATGCAGATTGCATCTACTTTTATTGTTTTAACTATTAGTTATGATAATTTTCAAATTGTTTGTTATTTTATTGATGATTCCATTTAGGCAAATTTTTCACTTCATTTGATTTGCCAATAGGTTTAACTATCTACTTAAAACTATTTGGCTGCAAATCTAAAGTATGTACTTCATTACTTTTAATTGTTTTCTTGAATTGAGTGGTCTAAGATTTTTAGTACTTTATTTGACGTGGTTATTCCTCTAAATTAGCATTTTAGTTGTTGTATATCTTTGCAACTAGATCAAAAACTGATATTTAGTGATTGTAATCCCTATCCAGAGGGAGATGCTTTACTATATGTTCTAAATCATGCAATAAATCATAATTGATGGATTGGTGAATGTGGAGATTTCATGATGATATGTCCTTGGAATCACTATAAATTCAAGAATTTGGCTTGCAAGAACCGAAATTCCACTAGCAATGATTTTCTTCAAATATGCTAATTGTTCAAATCTCACTTATATGGCAAGATAATGTGATGGATTGCCCTTATATTAAGATCAAATTCAAACTAAACAATAGATTTTAATATCCATAAAGTGCATGAGCAGATATAAATAGGTCTTTTATTTTATTAAGTTAGATGCAAAATAGTTGATCGTATCTTATAATTTTGTTTCATTGCATATTAGTATATTTTTTAACTCAATATGTAACTTATGATTTTTCTATTTAATATCATATATTAAAATTGTCATACTTCAATTCTTATACTACAAAATACCAAATAATCATTATTAACCATCTTTAATTATAAGCACTAAATTCCCACGCAACTCCTCCTAGTTATGAAGATAAAGACGATTGGATAGATCATGTTCGTCGACCAATCGATCAATCCCTACTTGAGCATCCAATTTAGCTCGAGATTTCTCTAGCACCTCGGGATGGTTGAGCAAAAGAGACAAGGCCCAATAATATACTAGTGGTTCAATTAAATGCTCGTTCCAGCTCAACAGTGAAGCATGGCTAATAGGGAAAGAATATACTTACTAGTATAATCCCTTTGATGATTTGGTCCGTATAATCCCTTTGATTTCTAATTATTATCATCCGCTCTTCTCTCTCAGCTGCTTGCTTGCTTGCTTATGAAGTAGTACTGCTGCTGCTCCTGTTGTTTGTGCAGGAGAGTTGAATTGGGTCCGTCTCCGATGTTGATTACAGATTATCTCCATTACTAATAGAGGCAAGAACGAGACTTGGACTTGGACTTGGAGGCCAAGCTGAGCTTCTTACTCGTGCTGTGGGTTCTGGGGATTTGAAGGTGGCGGCCAACAAGAGGAGTAATTTGGATTATGAGATTACCCCTTTCATGTCTTTGTTTAATAAGACAAAAGGCAAGAGAATGCTGAAAATATTAAAAAACGTGTTTTAGAAGTTAAAAAATTGAAAAAGGAGTTTTAGGTGCCGGCACGTGATCTCACGTGACTTAGTTCCGATTGAAATTGAAGAGATTCCGTCAATTGTCCACTTTAGCGCAAAATTGAATAGATTAGGGACCAAAATTGATTTTTGAAATAGATTGGGGATAATTTCACACATACACTATAGATTGGGGATCAAAATTACAATTCTCCCTATTAATAAAGGTGTGTGCTGTGAACTGGTGTGCTGTGAGCTGTTAGTTTCTTTGAGGTACTTGGCATTTATTCAAGCAGACCCTATTAATAAAATTGTATGGTTTGCAATGCTTGGGGTTGGTTTTGTTGGTTTTTGGCCACGCAAACTTATGAATAATTTGTTAGACGGTGTACTCCCATGAATATAGAAGTGGAAGGTACTCGAAGTCCTATATTCCCAGTTGCAGGTCTCCCCAACAAGATTTGGGGCTTTTAACCAATCTGGAACCGTTTTCATCGTTGATAAACCTCGACACAAAGTGTTTCACCCAGATCCGCATGAGGTTAACTATTTTGTTCACTAGCGGAAAGTATAATGGTAGCACTGTGGAAGCAGAAGGAATTAGCAGACGGCCCATCGATGTGAAAGAAACGGCAGTTCTAGGAGGAACTAATGCAACGGGCTTAAGCAACGGGGTATGTTAACCCTGATACGGCCCGCTCGGATGGAGATTATCTTTGCATAATGTTGGGCCTTTACATTAGATAAGACACGCTATATACTCCCCCGCCCCCACAATTTGACTCGATTCTTGGGAAAATCAACTTTTGAAGTGGACATATAATCATTATTGTATTGAGGGATAATGTCAATACCTCCATTGAGTTTCTCCTAATATCACCTAACACCTCTAAGATTTAAAAAATATTATTTACCTCTCCTAGTAAGTGCAAAAAGCTATATTAACCCTTATTTGAAACATAATTCACATATCAAATAAATGGAATCAAAAATTAAAAAAAAAAAGGAAACAAAAGTCATGTTCTTTTTTTTTTCCTTTTCTCCAATATTCCCTTTTACTCATTTTTTGGATGCAATTTACTATTTGTAAATTATAATAAATTGAATTTTGTTATCTTTTCCTTTTTATAATTGTGATAGAATGGGGTGTGATTTATTTGCTTATTTTGAGTTATTTTTTATAATAATTAGTACAATCTATATGTTTGGGCACCAGT